ATAGTCAGAAAACCACACTCTCGTGCCTACATAGTCTACAGGCAGCAATAAGGAGGTCTTATACACCAAATGCTTAATTCATCACACTGCAGTGCAGTAGGTAACACCTCTCAAACAGGCAAATGAGGGATGTGTTGCATAGTCAAGTGGGAAAATAGGAAACACAGGAACAAAAACCAAAGAAGCAGAGAGAATATGCAGGGTGAGAGTATATGCAAACCCTCAAAACACTGAGCAACAATGCTCTGCTAACACCCTTGGTGGGAACACACGTTTGTGCCTAAGGCAATGGACAGGCGATCCTATGCTTTCACCCAGCATCTCCATGTCCCCTGGTATTACAGGTGTCCATAGTTAAAGAAATGTTATTGAAGCATCCCCACCCTGCTCCTCTCTAGTGAACGCCGACACAACATGGCTGCAAACTGAAGGCTGAAAATGCCCTTAAATGCACATCAGAACCATCTCCTTCTTATGAATTTTTATCTTATTAAAGCAAGTATAGGATAGAAACAGAACAGCCAAGCAGATAGCAAAATGGAGTAGGTATGTGATGGGTCAGCATAGATGAGAAAATAAACTACTAAGCAACTGAACCTTCTTCCTAGTGTTCTTCCTCCATGCCGACCTGTATGAAAGAACACAACTGGCACCAACTGCTTTGCAGGTGTTTCTGAACCAACTGCTTTCCTTCTTCCCACGCAAACAGTGGCAGGAGTGGCTTGTTAGGTGGCAGTATGCTACAGGGAAGACCCACTGATGAAGCACACAATGAGGCAGAGGTGGGCTGGGAATTCAGGCAGCACAAGCAACAGAGATTGGTGTTGCTGCAGAGGAGGAGGGAACAGGGAAAAACTTCTGTGTGCATTAACTCACTGAGTTTATCTCTTACCAGCCTGTGGGGAGAGATGACAAGTCACAGGTTCCCATGCACAGGCATGACTACTGTGGAGAGGACAACTGCAGCTCTATTTACTAGGAGGCCCTATTACTTGGAGGCAAGCAATGATGGGAAGAATGCACAAAAGGGGGGGGGGGGGGACTCAGTATAGACCTGTTGCACAAACAGCATGAAATTTTATATACTAAATAATTTTAACAGATTGTACAAGGCAAAGGGCTAAAGTACTGCCTATGTTATTTCTTTTTGAAAAAATCAAGGCTTTTTTTTTTATGAGCCTTTCAGAAATCTGGGTGTGTTTTGGGTTCTCGTTGTGCAGGACACAATGAAGACAGAACTAAATCTGGAAGAACTGCAGGCTTCTTAAGGACTGTGTCTAGATTACACACAGCTTGCTCAGAAGAGAAAGAAAAGGTGGGGGCGGGGGGGGGGAAGCTTGCTGACAAGTAAAGTGGCACATTGGGAGGTTTGAGGAGAATGCCAAGAGAAGATGGAGGCTGCAGAAGCACAGTCTATTGCGAGGTAGAGTCCAGGAAATGAGACTGCTTGCAAGGAGTGGCATGCGCTTTGGTCACTCTTTCTGAGTGACTCTGTAGCTCTTTTTGGCAACCCACAAAGGAACTGACCCACCAGGTCTGGAAGACACAATAAGCCACCATTGCTATTAAGTACCTTAATATATAGCATGGGTTTTCAGAATGGCTCATTCCAGAAAAATGAGCCACCCTGCCAAAATCACACTGGATTCAGATGAAACAGTAACCCATCATGTCTGATCAACCAAGGTGAGATATTATTTTACCTGAACCAGACCACTGGTAAAATCTGAATTAGCACATAGTGGGAGGTCTAATGATGCTGGAGGATAGGGGTGGAAAAGCAATTGTGTTTCCTCCTTCTTTACAGCTCCCTGGGTTTGCTGAAGAGCTGCTCTAATGGACTGAGGTGATTTAAATCATCAAGAAAGTTCATTTAAATCAAGTTTCCAGTGGAAACATGTTCATGTATTTCTTAAGCAATGATACAAATCTGACCATTTAGCCATATTCATTTACAACCAAATAGAGCATCATTTACACTGTTTCATGCTTATAAGCAGGTTTTACATCTCTTTGTCTCACTGTACATATTTTGCATGCTGTCTGTTTCACCTATATGTCAACACTGCCACATAGGGCATGATTATGGCCCTGGAAGTTTGAGATGCAATGCAATCCACGTACTTTCCCTTATAAATACATTCTACAGGTCAGGGGGCTTACTCTCAGACATGTAGGTATAGGGTTGTTGCCTTAGTATGAGAATCCAAAATGCAAATATTGTCTCCTCTTTTTCTTTCCAATGATGCTCCTTTCTTTTTCAATCAGCCTTGCCCTCACACAAAACAGGGCAGGAAACATTAACAAGATAGCCCTGGTGGATACATCAAACCATGGTTTGCAGTTAATTGTCAGAAAAAGTCTAATTATTAAACCCATTTTTAAGAAGTTTTTAAAAGCATTTATTTTTATTCACCCTGCTTTATTGTCTCTCTTCTCTGTTGGACCAGTTCCACCACTATGAAAGCACAGAGCAACTGTCTTATTTAACCTGTGCCATCACACATGGAGCTTTACTCAAAGAAGGTGCCAGTCCAGAATTCCCAAGAAGAGCTAAACTGAGCCATTTCAATTACATGAAAAACTGAAATGAATGCCTATATTCAATGGGTAAATTTGCTTTTATGAAACTATGCATAGGTTCAACATGCTTATAATGAGCACATACCTTTATTGTTTTTAAGTTAGAGATTCATTTAGTATTTTGTTAGGTTTTTTAAAGTAGATTTCATTGTTTGAATTCTAATATAAATTAAAACAATCAATATGATATTTTTTCCAAAGAATTGTCTGTGCTTATCCAAATTTAGAGGGGGGAGGATACGCTGGAGTAGCATGAGAGGTAACGTAGCGTGCTTCAGGGGCAAAGGGAATCAATGAAGATTGCCTCCCTGTCCACTTCCTCCAGTAGAACCTGAATTCATTCCTGGACCCAACCTAATTTGTTTTCATTGACTGATAATGCCATCCTATCCATGTCTACTCAGGTAAGTGAGTATAGGGTTGCCGCATGAGTCACTTTTCTGCATGAATGAAACTACAGTCACATTCACCCACCTTGCTAGTTGACAGCCATTAAAAGACAACTTGTTCCCTTAGTGTGTGAGGGAACTGCTTAATCCCCCACATCTACAGACACAAGCAGGAATAAAATTCATTAAGTAAGTTATTACCTTACATTGGTTAAAATGTTCAAGCTTCCAAGTTATAAATAACTTTACCAAGAACAGACAGAGAATAAGATTGGATGTAAATGTATACATAAGATGTCAACATAAAGATTAAAAGAGAATCTACAATAATTGGAAAGATTTGCAAGCTAAATTTGTTTTGTCATTGTTTCCACCATATAAAAAGGAAGAGGCATGTACAGCTTAAACAATCACTGAAAGACAAGGAGAAAGATGGAAAAAAAAAAAAAATAGAATGTTAGGTACCAAACTTCAGGTACAATGAAGCATGCAAACTGAAAGTGCTTGCCAAAGCCATCACATATACAGATGTTTTTAGAAAAAGTAGCATACTGGAAATGTTTAATTATACAACTTTCAACAAGAGGACCTTCATTATAATCTATTTATGGTACAAAACAGAGGAATCCAAGAATACCTTCCCTGTTATTGTTTAATGACAAAAACTATACTTAAGATGTTGCACTATTAAGACTTGAGGAAAAGCAATCATTTCATGTCTTACAAATAATATTGAAAAAGTGCATGGCTTTTAATAGCCTTTGTTGTTATTACATGCTGCCAAGTCAACGTCAACTTATGGTGACCCTATCTTAACTAGGAAAGTTGAAAAAAATAAGATGGTATAAATAAATGTTCAGTATGCTACAGATGCCTACTAATATTACACAGTCCATTATTTATTAAGATCAACACTGGCTGATTTAAAACAATTGGCAAGAAATGAGGTCACACAGATTATGTTTCTGAAACTAAGATTTTCAAGGTTTATCAGTCCTGTACAATGAAAATCAGGCAGTTGAACAGAAAAAGTATTTGTCATTTTTAAGAAAAAAAAAAAAAAAGACAACCAGCATGCACTTACACGTTTCTGCATTCCCATATGCTGTTCTTTATGAACTGGCAGACACTTAGTAAAGTCTTGTGTCCATCACTGATGAAACAGGTCTGCATGCTGGTTGTATGAATTTTAGTGATTTCTACTGTACTTCCAGTTACTAGCATTAGTTGTGCTATGATTTTACTGTTCTATTTTGAGAAGTGTGATGAATTAATTTAAGATTAATTTTAAGATTTTAATCTTTGAGATATTAATTAAAATTCTTATTTTAAAGAAACAGGAGTAGAAGAGAGGAAAAACATGCAGCTGAATGTGATTACATCCAGTTCTACGTGACTGCTTGGATCCAGGCCTTGCCTTCCATGAATTGAAGGACTCCTTCTATTCACAGAAGGTATTTAGTCCATCAAAGCCTTTGCACTGGAACAGGGGAGAAGGTGATCTTCACTAATTCTCCCCTTCCCCTACAGCCTCTTCTGCCCCCATAAAACTGCTCTGGAGGGTTAGGGCACCCTATGCAATAGCATATGAGGTAGCACGGGAGGAAGAAGGAATAGATTAAAAATTATCTTCACTCTTCCCACTAGCTGCAACCTCCTGAAAGGAACTCTACCCAGAGAGTACTCCTACTGAGAGAAGCAAGCTCTGGATCCAACACTATGTATTCTGGCAGTCAGACCTCTTGATTCTAGTGAAATGCTTTGCACTTTTATTATAACAACATATGAAACGGAAAATTCATGTGTGCATATATTTGGAGCGCTATGAATTGTGCTAAAACATCTGATAATTCTGCAAAGTACTATCTATTTAAATACTGCCCCATATTGATTGAACGCATACTTAAATACTGGCTTTCACAGCTTGCTGTGACAAGTTTAAGCAAAACCCGAACAACATTTAACTCCTGATCAACAACAACTGAATCTAAATGTGCAACAATGTATATACAAATAAGCTCCATTTACCTTGCTTCTGTTCTTTTCTTGGCTCTGTTCAAAGACAACATCATGTCCACCCTGGGAAAAGCTCAGAGTGCTACTAGAACTATGCTCTTTATGGCTGTCTCCAAACCAAGAGAAAGGCATGCAAGTGGGAATAGGAGAATCTGAATCTGATGCAGATAAGTTGTTAACAGAGTCTTCCAGCAATTCTCGGGAGCCCCTGAAATAATATAGTTTTCATAAATGATCTGTGAAAATCATACTGGGCCAAATGCATCTGACTTAACATTTGTATAGTTTAACATTCAATCTATGATTATACTGTTAAGTTTAAAACATCTAATGTTCTTCAAATTGGTGGGCTTTTATTACTTTTTAAAGCATTTTAGATGTTTGTTGTTACATGTTTTGTTTGAAAACTGGACAATAACTTACTGCTAGTTCTGAAAACCTTTAAAAGTAAATTGATTAGATCCATTTTTCTCTTCCAGAAGGCTGAAACTACTGACCCTCAAAACAATGAAAGCTATACAAAACTGATGACAGAAACTCATCTAAGATGCAATCCTATGCATGTTTAGACAGTGATACAGTTCCCAGCATTCCTCAGTATGAAAATGTTATACAAGGTAGTCTTATAACTTTTTGTTTAAATGCGTACACAGGATTACATTTAATGTTCTAGCTCTATACCAATGTCTCAACTTCAAATGCATAGTAAAAAAAATAGTATGTGTTCATAAATACCGGCTGTCAAGAGATCCCCTTGCATTTTCTTTTTCTTGTTTCTTCCCTTTGCCACCAGATTTTCTTAGGCCCCTGAAAAGAAAGCTAGTTTATATGCTTTATAAAAGCAAGCCACTAAAGAATTGAGGCATACATGACATGTTGAAAAATAATGTAGGAATTGTGATACAACTGTTACTTATATACCAAAATGTGTTTCATATTTTAAAATATTTGACAATGGAACAGAATATAATACACATTATATTTCATTAATGGACTATATCTGCTGAAGAAAGCAGATGCCCCATAATTATATAGTCTTAAATATGGCTACAAACATAGATCACCACTACGTATATGCCGTCTTCCCCCAATCCAAGCTCAACATTCCAGACCACCTAGCTTTGCCTTGTTCTGTACTAGAATGCTGGCTGCTGTGATGAATCATGTCTTGGATTTCATGGAAGAAAGCTAAAAATGTCCATTTTCAGGCTTTTCAAAATTAGGTTATCACTACGAGAATCCTATTTCAGCTATATTATACCTTTGATTCTCATTCTGACTGTTGGACCCAAGTGTCTTTCTGTGCAGAAATGCACACAGTGATATTAACAGTTAACTCATCCCACTCTAAAAGCAGCTTTGGTATCTAAAGTAGAATCGACTGATTTGTTTTTATATGCTCAATATTAACAAAATACAGTCCCAAAAGATAGCCCTTCTATTTTGCTGTAACATGTCAGAGCGAGTGACTTAATCTAATGCTTAAGTTGCCCTTCTTTAATAATAGAACTTACTGCCTATTTAGCAGATTTAAGACTGCAACGTACATTAAAATGTAAAGTGCAGTCTTTCAAACTGAAGGGCTTTAATAGCATACAACATATTATTAAGATTCTTGCAATGTCAGAGAAATGAAAAAATCCCAAGTGCAGCAATTGTGGCATTTGGGCACATAGCTATTCCCAGGTGCCATATATTCAAATAAACATCCAACGTATCTAATATATGGGAAACTGCACTTCAGTCAACGAATACGGCAACTTTAACAAATACTCAATTACTGAAAAGTGAAGCTAACACCTTTTTATTTAAGAAATATTTTAATGGATAGCTGTTTTAACTGTCTTATTAAGAGCTCCTTGGTGCTAGAGATAGTGTCATGTATTGTTGTTGTCAAACCCATTATTGCATTGGTTTTTATTATGATGCTTTGCTCTTTTAAATTGTTTTTATTTACTATAATTGTAAACTGCCCAGAGAGCCCTGTGGGCTAATGTGGCAGTATAGAAATGTATTAAGTAAGTAAGTAAGTAAGTAAGTAAGTAAGTAAGTAAGTAAGAAAGAAAGAAAGAAAGAAAGAAAGATGTCCTACCCAAAATCTGGAAAACGCCTTTTGGACTTCCCCCCAGATGTACCTTCATTGGATTCAGCTTTTTCTTCAATTCGTTTGTCATCTGCATTACATAAAAATATTGACATAAGGTATCTGTCATAACTACCTCCCACTTCAAAAGCCATCTAAGTACTCTCTTCATATAAGCAGAACTGAAACTTCATGAGACCAACTTACACATTCATGCAGAACATACACTATACTTTTTGCTTTACCAACTGACGTAATAGACTGAAGGTTCTAACCTGATTATTTCTTACAGACACAAGAATGCTTTTATACATTTCATATAGCAAGTTGGTAATGTTGTTTGATCATCGTAGAAGAATAAAGTGCATGGGGATATAACAATTTTTAAATGTTTAATTCCGAAAGGCAGGATTAGTACTTATTCACTGTCATAATTTTAAAGTATGTATTAATTTTCAGTACTCTCTAGTGTTTATATCAAATTGCCTTCAGGGATTACTTGGAACTGAAAGACTCTTTGCTAAAGAATATGCCTGATTTTACATTAAAGCCTTTTTCCTTTCTATGGGGAAATTTAATTTAGAGTTCTTTCAGTGGAAAGTACAACTGACAACATGGGTCTAACAAGTATAGAAGTAATCTTAAATTCAGTTAACAGATTTAGAATTAACAGATTTTCACAGATTTCCTTGTAGCCTTACTCATGCTTTGTTATGTATGCACAAAATTGAACCATACTTAATGGTAAGCAGGATGTATCTATAACCTTCTTGAACGGCATTTTAATCCCCATGTTACAAATACACTCTGCTTGTCATTAGTTAAAATCCATTCACAGGTGAGGATAAGCCATGGTTAAGATCAGCAGCTGAAGGAGAGGACATGCGTGTTATTAGAATGACTACACCAAAGGAAAGACTCATATTCTCTCCTGAAGCCACCAAAGGGAGAGGAAGCAGCAGTCCATCAGGCACTCTCCCATCATGCCTGGATAAAGCTGAGGGCCACCCCTATTCCTAATAGAACTTGACACTGCTGAGGCCACCAGAAGAGGAAGCAGCAGTCCTTGCATTTTATTTAAGTCCAACTCTATGACCTGCTGAGCTTTGCAACTAGGAACCTAGTGCCTACATTTGCTGTTCAACTTCTCCCTCTCAACCCTTTCCTTAAGGGCGGGGACTGTATTATTTATGATCCTTAGGAACGGCTCTGGGAGCAGGTTAAAATGTTTTAAATAAATAAATATGATCTTTGAATCTATTCCCAATACCTTAGTCATGGTTAACAGTTGTCTGCACTAGAGTCACTGAACTGATAAAAAAGTGCATAGGTTGAGATGCAAGAGGTAATGCTTCAAAGCACCTGCATCAACATCCTTATTCTCAATATATTGTAGTAGTATTTATTACATTTCCACACCACCTCTTAGCTAAAGCTCTCTGGGCAGTTCACAACAATTAAAAGCTAAACAGACAAGATAATAAAATCCAAAATAAAAGTTCATCAGTTTAAACCATGGATCCTCAAACTACAGCCCGCAGGCCAAATCCGGCCCGTCATGCCCATTTATCTGGCCTGCCTCAGAGGTTTTGGACTCCCCACACCTGCACCCGCTGCTGCCCGCCTTGCCACACACGCGCTCGCCGCCGCCTTGCTGGTCCACACCCACAGGCACCCACGCCTCACCAGCCCACATCCACTGCCATCACCTTTCAACTGGCCCCCTATTGAAAAAGTTTGAGGACCCCTGGTTTAAACCTACAGTTTAACAAAAACAAATAGATGTTAGGGGCTGTGAAAAAGACTGAAATACAGTACCAGCCCTAAAACAGAAAGTGACAAACTAAAATGCCTGGAAAACTAAAAGGATTTCACTTAGCACCTAAAAAAGAGCATAATGTAGGTGCCAAATGAACCTCTCCAGGATGCTCATTACACAGCTGGGCTTGCTACAGCCAAAAAGGTCCTCTTCTTAGGGGCTACCCAATTCATTTCCTTTGGCTGGAGCTACCTACCACAGAAGGACCCATTAAGATGATCTCAGGGTCCAGGCAGGTGTCTTATATGCTACTACAGACATGCAAGAGAGATCCTGCTTAGTAAGTCAGAGTTCTTGTGCTTTAAAAATGTTGCTTTTTTATCAATGTAGCTCCTTAGAAAGGAGGAATGTTTGGCGGAATGGAGCATGGAGGAATGTTTAGCAATTATTATTTTTAAACATGACAAATTTCGTTACCTTTATTTGATTTTCCTTTGCCTTTTGATTCTCTCTGCTTAACATTTCTGCAGTATCCTGGAGAATTTGGAGTAGTATCATCATTAGGAGCTGACTGGGTTGATCCAGAATTATTCTCTGTGTGTGGCTTATACACTGGGGAAGAGTGCACAGAAACAGATGGACTTGATTCTAACAAACTGTAGGTGTTTTCAGCACACTCTTGTTTATTAACTCTTTGATCTACATCACTCTGCTGTGATGATGTTATCTTTTCTGTCACTTCTGAAGACTTGTTCTGGATATTTTCCTGGATATAGTCATCATTATCATCATCATCCACATCCTGAAAGCAAATGTTGAAATAAAAATATTTAAGCTATCAGCAGCATAGGACCAAAATACCTGAATGGTCATTTCTTGTATCTGTATACCCACTTACTGAGGTTGTCATCCAAGGCCTGCCCTAAAGGAAATATTGGAGAGCCAAATGAGGTCACACCATGACACAGAATGGCTAGAATCACAATACACAAGTGTGAAGACAGAAATTCCTGGATCCTTTTGGCATTATTTTTTACTTCACCCATAGGTGAAAGTGAGAGATGGTCACAGAAATCCAAGTACAGGACTGTGATTCAGCAGTAGCATGTCCATAGAGAAAACAAAAAAGGCAGCAAAATAGGAGTTCCTGCCTTTCCAATTAGGGCCTTAGTTAAATTAGATTTTTTGAGTGCTTAAAGGTGTTCTCTTTAACCTTTAAAGTCCTAAATGGCTTAACACCTGACTATTTGTACCACGTGTCAATTACAAACCTGACCGGGTACTAAGGACTCCAGGAGAGGACCTTTGGTCAGGCATGTGTGAATGATCATGAATGTCCCATAATACTTCTTTAATTTGACTGTAAATCTCACATTGAAGTTACAAATATATCTAGTGTTATTATTTAAATCAATGTTTAGGATTTTGGTGTATGATGGATATTTTATCTATGTGCTGCTAAAAAAATCACTTCTCATGTACACAGATTCCATACTTGAATCAAGCTCCAGCATCAGAATAATTATGTGGTAAAATTCCAACCATGAGGCAACAATGCTTGTGGCCTGGTAGCAGTGATATGAACATTCTATTACCAGATGCCAGTGTTCCACATGTGAAGCTGATACTAACATTCTGATGTCACTTCCTATGACATGGAGGTGATGTTCATCAGGCCAATGAGTAAATGTGGCCTATAAATACTGCTGTCCTAAGCCGCTTCTAGGGGCTGCATTCTTTGTTTTATTTTTACAGCTAACAAACCTAACTATGCTGAATTTCTAGAAAACTGAGATAATAATTATCATTTTGGTGTAAACCACCCCTTTTCAAATAACTGAATATTTGTTTTAGCATAGCATTTTCAAAATCTGCTCGAAAAAGTTAACCCTGCTTATATATTGCTTGGCTATAGATTAAATCCACTTCTTTGCTTGCCTTTTTTTTGCATAGAAAGGAGGCAGAACACATGCCACCTGTCATGAATGCCGAGTAAATGATGGAATTTATTTCATGCTTGCATTCATTACAGAGAAAGTTATAAATTGTATCTGAAAAAATGAATCAACAGAAAGTATACTATACCTGTGAGTTTGCATCCTTCTGTCCAGCCCCAAGAGATTCTTTTAGCTTTGACCGAGAAGGAGGCTGACGTTTTACTTTCAAGGCAAGCTGAGCTTTTGCTTTATGTGCACTGGTGTCTAACCTTGGTGTGTCCCCAACAAAGGTATCAAAATCTGTAACAAATTGATAGTTACCTTTAAAAATTGTATTTCAGCAGTATGACATCTCTCTCACTCCTCTAACAACAGAAATGGACTGTGCTCTTTTATAAAGTAGCATTCAAAGATTTAAGTAACCTGACTCTGTCTATAAACTGAATGGAAACACTGTGGATTCCAGCTCAAAAGCTTCCATATGCTTTCAGTAACACAGCTGGTGCAATAAAATATCATTTTACTTGTACCTCATGTTATAGAACAAACAACTTAGCTTATGCAAATCTAAATTGTACAGACCTCAATGAACTAGCACAAACAGACTGAAATTCAACATGGAACACACACACACACACACACACACCTCTCCTGTTTTGTATCCCTTGTGGCATTCCAACTATTGTTGAGAAATAGAACATTTTTACCTATTCATTCCTGCACTTCTACTCAGGCTACAAAGTTTACGCTTATCTCATTTGTTAGTATTAAGGCTGCCCAATCTAGAAACTAACATATATACTTACTAAGAGTGACATTTTCAGGGCAAAATTCAGTGACACGGTGCATTACATATCTTTAGGAAACCAAAGGATAGTTTTAAAATCTTCACTTACCAGAAAAATCTAATTTCTCTATTGAAGACTCAATTTCCTGAACATCATCTTTCACTTTAAGATGCTCAGTCAGTTGTTCACAACTTGAAGTGTCAGTTGTTAACAAAACACTATTTCCAAAGAGATAAGGGAGTCTCTCATATATTTTTAATTTATCTTCAAGCTCTGTAATCTGAAAGTTTTATGACACAATTTTAAAGACCAAGAAGCAGTTGTAAAGCAAGTGCTCTGAAAAGCAATGCATAAGAAGCCAAGCTTGCCTAACCTTCTCCTGCAATATTTTCAGTTGATTTGCATGCTCCTGGTTTCTCTCTTCAAGAATTTTTGTATGATCCTCTTCTTTTTTAATGAGTTCAACTTCTCTGTGACAGGGAAAAGATACACTATTCAATATCAAAGGGTTTCATTTGGAAAATGATATTTACTGGAAAAAGCCAGTATCCAATTATATGCTACCATTAAGGTATATACCTACCCACCCATTAAAATTTGGGCAATAGGCCATTCTGAAAGAGCCATTGCTCATGGAGGTGAGAGGGCTGGGGGAAGAAGGGTCTTCTCAGTGGTTGCTCCTGAGCCTAAGGAACAGACTCCCCATAGAACAGGGGTCTCAAACTCAACTTACCTGGGGGCAGCCTGGGTGAGGCTGGGCTGCATCAAGTATTCCACCCCCACGGTGGTGGTGGGCCACTCATCCTGCGTCGCTCCCGGAGGCCGGCCCGGGTGCTGCCGGCGCTTTGAAGGCCGCAGGGCCCCTCCCCCGTGCCCCACCCGTCCCGGCAATTGACCTGTGGGCCGTGAGTTTGAGACCCCTGCCATAGAAGCGTTCCTGGCCCTGTCTTTGCTTTCATTTTGGTACCACCTTTCTCTTTACCGCCCATTTTAGTAACTATTTTAAGATGATTTTTTTAATTTTAAGGGGTTTAATAGAATTATTAATGGTTGTCCTCTCACCTGTATATGATTTATAATGATCAGTTATATTATTACTATAATTACCTATATTTTAATTGATTAATTTTATTGTTTTTAGTATTTTGTTATTTTAAGAATCTTATATTTTTGGTCTTGATTTTTGTATACTATCTAGAAAGGCTTTTGGACTACTTTTGGCAGCATATAAATAAATAAATGCAAATGACACTGCACTAACATAAACATTTCAAGTGCAACAGCAACAGCTCTTGGTGGCACAATCAGTTTTATTCATTATTAATTAATTTATTTTATTATATTTATAAACAGCCTCATAGCCCATGGGGCTCTCTGGGCGGTATACAGTGTAAAACAGAATAAAAACATCAAAACAACAGAAACAAAAAGCATGGAATTTGGAAACTCAACAAGGCTAAAACAAGAATACAACTTACAACAAAACACTTGAAGACATCAATAAAAAATATTAAAACCAAACTTTAGTTAACTATTAAAATGTGTGAAAAATGGAAAGGTTTTAAGATGTGCTTATTAAGATGCACTACAACCAAGTACAAGCTGAAAGTGAGAGACGGCAGTCCAAGATTGACAGACAAATCATCAAGGAATATCTAGATGGAATAAACATGTTCAAGTCTCCAGGGCCCAATGAACTCCATCCCAGAGTCATAAAAGAGCTAGTGGAGGAACTTTCAGAACTATTGGCTATTATCTTCAATAAATCTTGGAAAACAGGAGCAGTGCCGGACAACTAGAGAAGGGCTAACGTCTTCCCTATTCTCAAAAAGGGAAAAAAAGATGAACCTGGGAATATAAACCAGTTAGTCTCACATCAATCCCTGGAAAAATTCTGGAGCAAATTATTAAAAATCCATCCACAGGCATCTTGAAGAAAATGCGGTGATTAATAGAAGACAACATGGATTTATCAAAAATAAATCCTGTCAGACTAATTTAATCCCATTTTTTGACTGGGTAACCTCCCAAAAGGACAAAGGGAACACTGTGGACATAATCTACCTAGACTTTAGCAAATCTTTTGATATAGTGTCAAACGACATTCTGATAGGCAAAATAGCAAAAATTGGACTAGACAGAAAAACTATCAGGTGGATCCAAAATTGGCTGCTAAATCAGACACACAGAGTGCTCATCAATGGCACCTTCTCAAATTGGATGGAGATAACTAGTGGGGTGCCACAGGATCAGTTCTGGGTCCAGTGCTCTTCAACATCTTTATTAAGATTTAGATGAGGAAGTACAAAGAAAGATAATCAAACTTGCAGATGATACAAAACTGGGTGGAATAATAAACACCCTAGAGGACAGAATGAGGATCCAGGGCGATCTTGATAAACTTGAACACTGGGCTGAAAGTAACAGCATGAGATTCAATAAGGACAAATGCCAAGTCCTCCACCTAGGAAAAGAAACCAAATGCATCGATACAAGATGGGGAATATGTGACTCAACAGAACTGAAAAAGATCTCGGAGTAATTGTGGACAATGGGCTAAATATGAGCCAACAATGTGATGCAGCACCCAAAAGGGCAAATGCTATTTTTAGATGCATTAACAGAAGTATTACTTCCAAATCATGAGAAGTAGCAGTTCCTGTCACCTATCATATTAAATTCAAGTTCTTTGTGAAGAGATAAGGTGATAGTGAAAACATCTTTGAATTATAACACAATAATGCAAGACTGTTGTTCTGGGAAAACCCTTTAACCCAGTAAGTGGAATTGGTATAGCAGTAGTTTATGCTAGTGCACAACCATTTATAGTAGCAGTAATACAGCATTGGTAATTTCCCAAAGCTTGTTGTACTGGATTGTACTGTATTCAACTTGATTAGCTGAATCCATCTCCAAGCATTCTGTCTTGTTTAGTTCAGTAACTTAATGAGGCCAGCCAATAATTTACCTTTTCTAGATTTCATCATCCATTTACATTCCCACAGCTACTGAATTCAAATTGCTATTTTCAGAATGAATTCAAATTGCTATTTTCACTTTCTACCTTTACTACTACTTTACACTGAGTCAGCAGATTTTGCATCTGCACACAGCTTTCAATGCAAGAAAAGACAAGCATAAATTTGTATGAGTTTTAGAAAGTAGATAAGAATGAACTCACTTCTGTTGATATTCCTTGAGTAATTTCTTGGCTTTGTTGTATTTTTTCTCCAATGTATCATATTGTTCCTGGGTTTCTTTAAGATGTTCATTGACTGTTTTACACAAACTTTGCGCTTCTAACCAATACGTTTCCAACTTCTTTATTTTTTCTTTGTTCTCATCTAAAGTTTCCTGGAGCTGGGATTTACTTAACTCCCATTCAGCCTTTTCAGCTTCTGTTGCTTTTAACTAGAAAAACAATTTGCCAAAGTATAAGCTTCAGTATGAACATTCTTTAAAATCTTTTAATATTTTAAGAAGTCAGCAGAATAAGGAACATGAGAATACACACAACAAAATTACTTGTTAATGTTAGTATTATTGAATTCGATTTAAAGTGTGTGTGTGTGTGTGTGCGCTGAGGCACATTTCTGCACATAAATTGTGCAGAATCAGTAACTTCAAGGCACTGCTTGTTTCAGTTTTCATCACTGGCTGTACTGAAACTGAAATAAATTCAGGGATGCTCTGGGTAAATGGAAGACTCCTTTCAAGCTACCAGTAAAAGCAACAGTTAGGAAAATGTTTGCTATAAGTCATGTTTCTCTAATCTGGTACCCTCCAGATGTTTTGAACCTCAAGTCTCAACAGCCCAAGCCAACACAGCCAATAATTGGGAAATCTGGATGCTGAGAATCCAAAAGGTTGGGAAAGGTTGTCTGAAGCTTAGGTCATATTACAGAGTACCACTATTTTCCTGTCTTTTTGCTGTTATGCCACCTTGAGAAATGAACTGATTTCTGCTTTTCACAAACAGTATTTTGAGGGTTCATGTAAGCCATAGAAGGTTTATTTATATACATTCAATAGCTGTATTTGGGTAGGAAGCAAGATCCTACACTGGCTCCAGCAAAAATTACTGGGTTCTGTTTTTACGAGATGCATAGAAAGGAAAGTTCTATGACATGTATTGCAAAATGCTGATATCTTGCCTATACACTGAGTGTTTTGTTAAAGTGCTGCATAGTATAATACATTCTGATAATAAAAACTCATCTGTATGATAACAGAAATATATTCTACAAACTGTAGGTTCTTCTATTGGGAAAACACACCTTTGAAAAAATAAACTTCAGGCAAAATAATTCCTTCCATTCAATTACGAATGGTACATGAATCCTCTTGGAACATAGATCTAGCAATTCTATGCCTATGCTTTTTTCTTTTACTAGCAGAGAGGCAAAGTACACATAGGTATAGCAACTCCTTTCCTTCTCTCCTAGTCAGAGTGTACTACTTAAAGAGCATCTCATACTGCACTGGGAAACCTACTTACAAGACAGAGAGGAAAGAGGAGCCTCTGCAGAAAGTTCTCTGTAACAGGAGATAACAAATCAGAATACACCGTGCAATTTTCTGTCCCCTGGATCATAAGCAAGGAAGGGGAGGTGCCTTTGCCCACAAAGGAAACCATTACGTCAATCACAACATGAGAATGGGAAGCAGATAGGGGTGTGCTGGAGGTAAAACGGGGAGAAAAATACTCCCTCCAGACTCTTTCACGTAAGATGTGTCTGACTCAGCTTGGCCTTTATTGAAATAGCTTTATTCTCTGAAGTCATGTATTAATATTTGTAACAGAACACTAGGAGAAACATAAAAATATAGAGGACAATGTTCATTATGGATCACACTATAAGAATTATTTAAATAATGACTTGCTGAACTGGGGCTGAATTTAAGTGTTTGGTATTATTTTGATTGTCCTGAGTATACTCAGTCTTAGTTTTACAAATACCAAATACAAACCAAAACTATATTCATATCCTGTATTTGTGTATTAAAAACTTACCTTTTCCTTAAGTTGGTTAACTTCAGCTGTTGTAACAGCATGTTTTAACTGTAACTACAAAAGGATAGAAAAAGATTTGTCAAAGGGGAAAAACTAGCATTTGAAAGGTTATTGTCTTCGTAAGGTTTGTCATAATGTATTTATTTAACTGCTCTAAACTAATAAAATTGCTGTGGCCCTAACAAAAATATCTGTAAAACTTTTTAGTGCACTTGAACCACTTCATACTAGAGGTACTCCTCAACAATGCTAGGGTCAGTTGTGCTGTGGTATATCACAGAATCTACAATTTCATTAAAAAAAAATACATTGAATGTATTAGCTGATTTATTCATATTCTAATGAATACCAACTACCTGAGCTAAGATCCATTTTATCACCAGCAATTTCTCAAAATAGGGTAGAGAAAATCACTCAACATTTTACCTGTATCATAAATTCCATTTTCCCTTTTTGTAGTTATGCCACTTCAAGAACAATGCAAAATATTTTTGTTTATATTTTTAAAAAATTCCTTATATTTAAGGAATATTTTCTTCCTTAAATTTTTCCTTAAATATTCCTTATATTTCCTTATAACACTTTTTGTGTTTATGAATATGCAGAAATATAAGGAATTACGCTTGCAGGACCACCTTCTGCTTGCACCTGTTGAATCAGACACAATGCCTCGCTGGGAAGTTCCATGTCAAAAGTTCCCAGTGTGTTGGGGCCCCTCAAATGGCATCTACAAAGGGATTCCCAACATGGATCCCATGGGCACCCACATGTTTATTTTCTGTTTTCAATAAATATATATACATGGAGTTGTATGAAAATCACACCACTCTCTACCAATTATACACTCTCTACCAATTAACAAAAATGGCAGAAATATCCCAGTAAGTATTCATTTAAAGTTAGTGACTATATACTACCTGTTCATATACAAAAAAAATGTTATTAGGCCCTCAGTCATTGCATAATAACAGGTGAAGGTTTATCCATTTAATTTTCTGATATTGGTGTTTTAGCTGTTAAAAAGGTGCAGACAATCCATCCCTCTTTCAACTTAATTTCCATGAAATAGGTAAATAATTTAAGGGAGGATGTACATCACTGAATATTAAAGACTGTTTTAGTACAAAATAAAGCATTCACTATATTAAACTGCCACAAAGTAGCTGAATTTGAACATCCCTTCTTGAGGAGCCAATGTAGTATTCAATAGATACATTCTTCTAGATAGATTCTTTTTTTGCTGTGTAAGATGCAGTCTAAAATCCATAGATATGAAGGGAGATATCAAAGCAACTATAAGCTGATTCAGCATTCTGTGGTAGTACCCACAGCAGTTTCTCAAATTCCCAAAAGGGCTCATACAGCCAGGAAGTAGGGACTGCGTCTCATCACCAACTAAATTACTGAATGCTACTGAGGACAGTGTTAACATTGTGGGTTACAATGGACCCTAACAATTTTCATGTTAGGCTACCTTTTAAAATGTGATATTAATAACATCTATTATGTTATGTTAAATGGGAATCATTTTGAAATCATATTTTTAGTTACATTCTGGGACTTTAAAGAGGTCTGTTGTACCACCATAGCAGATTTATACTGCAAGGAACAACACAAACATGATGAGAAAAGTGTAAAAAGATTAGGCCAGTATTTATACTGCTAAAATTTCTTCTCTTGTGTTCCATGTTCAGAGTATCTTTAAAACATAAAAAGCCCAGAACAGTAAGGGAAATGAATGCACATCAATGATATGCATATTAAGTCATGTAGAGAGTGCAATATAAATCAAGTTTACTGTTTTACAAGACAGCAAAAACTGCACTGTACCTCTTTAAACTTCAGCAGAAATTGTGCCGAATCCATGTCTAGTGGTAAATTAATATCTTCATTTTCAGGAAGATAGAACACTTCCACAGATTTTCCATGTAAATGTGATTCAAATGAATCTTCTTCATCATCATAATCATCATCCTGAAAAGGCATTAGCTACTATTTACTGAAATTACATAAACCCTTTTCTAACAATTGCTATAAAACATGAAATTCATAAAGACTAAATACAAAGATCACAATACTATTATAATTTTGCATGCTGCAGTTTGAATTTTTCTTCACTTTTTTCCTTTATTTGCAATTTAAAAATTTCCAACACATGTTTTGAAGAGATAGGTCACTGAAGTAATTTAAGCAATTAACTGTTTCTGGCACATCACAGGAGACTATGAATTCTGGCTCAATCAATTATGATGTGCACAAGCAGCGTAAGAGTACATCCAACCTAAATGCTTCCACTTGGCTCCTTCTTTCATGCAAGCTTTCCATTATGTCTGAACTAGGAACTATGCTTAATTTTTACAATCAATGCAATATTCTTAAAACAATTTCAAAACAGGAACAATTGGGCCACATGCACAGTGGAGGAAAGCAGCAAATCAACCAACACAGCAAGAAGGAGAGAGAAGAAATGAAGAAAACAAAACTACATGGGAGCCACATACACGCCCCCCCCCCCAAAAAAAAAGCAGCAAGAAATGAAGCAACAGAAAAAACAACACAGAGACATGAGAGTCATATGGGGTAAACTGTCAACACACTGTCCTTAACCTCTCTCTGCTCTTCCTCATCTGTCTGTCCTCCCCACCAGCTTGGGATCCTTCTGAGCAGCCTCTAAGCTTATCAGTAAATTTCTGGCGTCCAAAAATAGGCATAGAAGGGCAACAGGAAACCAAGTTTCTCTTTCCCATTTCCACCTTCCAGACCGCAGCCAAGAAGCTTGGATGGCTCCTTTTCTTAACAATCTCCTCTACTTGTCATCACCTCTACCTATAATGCTCACTATCCTCCTCCCTGTTCCTCACCTACAAACTCAGTCCATGACGGCCTAAGGTAAGAGCTAGACAGTGGCTACAATGTGAATCCTGTTGCCAGCGGTCATCTCTCTTTACAGCTTGTAATACCTTCACCTTCAACAAGGAGATTGGCTGGAATGCTAAACAAAAGCCTTCTTGTTAGAAGCCAGAATCCGCAGTAACATTTTATTGTAGGCTCCATTTATATGCATACAAATATAACTGATACCTGTTCTGTATCATCATGGGCAAACTGCTGCTCATATAAGCATCTCTCCTGTTCCAAAGTCTCACTGATAAGGCGAGCTACTTCACTTTGAGTTCCTGGTTTTTCTCTTCCAATCAGGAACCTAAGGAGTTGAACCATTATTAATAAATCAATATAAATTAACTTCTTATATTACAATATATTAGTGCCTCCAGCAAAAATATAACATTTTCTATTAATTTTATTAATAAAAATGCACATACCTGACTGTGCCTTTTGTATTTTTTAATACAGTTGCTGCAAAAAACTGGGTAACACCTACAAGACTGATACCATCAACCTCAACAATCTGATCATTTACTTGGATTCTGCAAGACAACAAAGAAACATCAGGTTTTGCAAAGAATTCATTATCCAAAAGCAGAAAAATAAAAATGCATAATAACTAAGGGCATATTTGGTCATTATATTCTACAAAAGACTTTACAGAAATCACTCTTGATTGCACATACCCTTCCCCGGGAAGGAAAAGTAACAAATGAATTAAATCAGACTTAAATATTTTAATTAAAACAAAAGATATGAATTTGAAAAGCAATAATAATTTTTGTTCTTGTTAATACATTTAACTACAAATACTGGCTAGAAGAATATATATTTAAATTGGTTAAGTTCTATTTAAATACAGACTGACTTAAATCTGATTTGATGCCACCTTTGCTCAAAGAAGAGAGTTTTTGAAACACCGTATGTGTTCTCATTCAGTTACTGTGCAATAATAAAATTATGGCTCTTCCTCTACCATTCGTTTAGTTACCCACTATTACAGGTACACTGAAGAACTGTGATCACTGAACTGACTGCTTTAAAAAAAAACAACAGATTTGCTCACATTTAAACTGGAGTACCTTTAAAGCATACAGTCCATACATCTTTCCCTCTTTCCAAGTTGACAAAAATAATGGCTTGCTAACTAAAAACTTTATTAAGTTAATGCAAGACAATCTGACTGGCTTAAAGGCACAAATGAAGCATGCTATAGAAGTTAATAACAAAATAAACCACCTTAGTTGGAATACTTGTTGTTAAGGAAGTATGACCTATTACTATTACTGAGAAGCAGATCCTTCCTTCCTTCCAGACTCACTTTACCAAGTCACAGCTCTTGCCTGTGGGCCAATCTCTTAAGCATGTCTGACAGTTCTTTGCTGGTCTGGCCTCTTCAGCTGATGCTACAATTACTGAAATTACTATGGCTGATATGCCACTTCCTCAACAGGCTAACTTTGTCTTCTGACGGTGCCTTTCTTCAACTGGCCTTGACTTCTTGGCCGCAGATGCCAACCCATCTTCCTTACCTGAATCACATTTTGTTCCCACATCCTTTGAAAACTCTTATGCAAGATAAATTGGCCCAAAACCAATTGAAAGTGGCTTTATTTGTGCTACCTTTAGCCAAGTCTATTGTTGAATTTGTTTGCTGTCATGTTATAAATTATTCTGTGGAAGTCTAGCCTTTTTCTGGCAATTCACCAGAAACACAAGCAATCAGCTGATATGTAGACAATGCAATGTAAGAGCAATGGGGCTTACTTCTGAGAAGACATGTATGAATTACTAGTTGTTCTCCTACCACAAATAAAAAAGCAAATGTTGTAGTGCAAAAGGATTGCATGCTGTAAAACTAGGGATTTTAGAATAAATTCTTATGTAGCACAAAGACTCCGTAGCAATTACAGTTGAAGTCCAGATATAATATAGTCTTAGGAAAAGAGTTTTTGGTTTTAACAGAGGTACCAAAAGGGACTCGAAAATAGCAGCAGACCGAAAAAAACAGATATTAGAAGAAGAATCAGTTCTTCTCAATCTATGAAAATTTTCTTTAACCCTCCCTGATCACCAGATAATCCAAGATTGAAATCTAAAATCTAATCTGCAATTAACCTTATCATTATAATCCTCCTCATCCTCCATCATCATCATCATGATATGCTTATTTGAAAAAAAAATCTATAAATTTAAAAGGTATTTTCTTGATTTAAAGCAGTTATTTAAATCAATGTTTTATCTTGGTTATTCAAATTTCCTTGAATGTATGTATTTATTATTTAATGTGGCATTTTCACATAATAACGGAAAATGTATTCCCAATTAAACTCAGAACTATGCTCTAGTAAGTGGACAATAGCCTGGACCTGTAGTGAGGTATGCCTGATTCATCTCAGAGCTGTCTCAAACAGTGGGAAACAATGGTTCCCTAGCACAAGGATAAGCTGCCATGAAACCTGGGCTCACATGCTCTCCTATTTTTAATTTTAAACTCTCCAAAGTTCCCTTTCATGCCCTAACCTGGGTTTCCAATACCATGCTTTGATCCTGACTTCCCCTCACTAACCATAGTTTAATTAACTACATTTCCAAAAGTTTGGATATTACAGAGCACTTAGTTAGTTTTAAATTGAAAGCTCTTTCTCCTCATGCACGCAAAAGAGGAAAACAGAGTGGGGAAAACAGGTAAGCCTGAGGCTCAACATGGCTCATTCTTATAGAAGGCAAACAAAGTTTCCCATTATATCCCAACCAAGTCAATGACTTCTCCAGATGCCAATGAGTTGTAAAGCTCTATGCATCTAGAGTTCTTGATTGTAAACTCTTCTTACAAAAACAAATGAAAAAGGGGGCAGAACATAATAAGAATTCCTAATGAAAACTTACCGACCATCCTTCTGAGCAGCTCCGCCTTCAGTTATTGTTTTTACAAAGATGCCCAGCTTTTCTAGTCCCTGATCTGCACCAACACCCATTCCAATTATACTGATACCTAATCCACTGTCACCTATAGATTACAAAAAATGTATTTTTAAAATTACTTCCATGAATGAAATGCTGTACTTTATCTGCATATGCTATTTAAAATAATGAAAAATAAGTTAAGTTTATATTTAAAGAACCATAAGAGCTAAAACAAATGCATTTATACATTATAAAATAGTATTTTACAAAAAATATTAAAACATAACATACTCTGATTCCTAGTGAAACATTTTACCCCTTTAGCTGATATTTCTGGACTGCACATAATTCCATGTTTTAGTTTTAATTAATTACACCCCTCCTTTCCCCAGTAACCAATTTTTCTCTTAGCCATTTGGATATGACAAGAACTAGACAACATTTTCTAGCTCAGAAACCATAATAAAATATTTAGGAGGCAATACTTTAGTAAGCCAAGAAAGGGCCAACTTTCACAACATGCCAGCCCAATGGGGATTATTTTACCTGCAAGAGGCTATGGCACATGCTGTTTGCCATTGCTAAAATGTAACTGGGTTGCATTTTAGCAATGTGAACCCAATTAGTGAGAGTTAAATGACCCTTGCTTAATCCATGGATTCTGCAAGGGTTGCATATAACCACCAAAAAAAATTCTGCCAGACAGATTTGCAGAACTCACCCAACTATAGTAACCCTTGGCTTGGGCCTGCGTATTTACAATAGCAGACAACACATACTGCGGTGCCCTGAGCATGAGTTAATTCAAGGTTGGTTGTCATGTCATTTGAATCAGGTAAATATAATTAAATTCTTCACCGTGCGGTGACCGTTTGGGCCTGAAACTGAAATAAGACAAACTTCTATGGAACAAACATTTAACTTTTGTACCTTTTTCAATTTCCACTGGGAAAACCTCCATTTTCTCCACCCTTTTCTCAAGTTCATATTCAGCTGATGCTGCCACAGGGTCAACCTCTTCATTGCGTCTATCATAGTCTTCATTTGAGTAAGTACTGAACACCTGAAAAAAATAAGAATCGTTTTCACCAGGATAGATTTGATTTAAATCAAATTACTAGTCAGTAATACTAGATTTAAATCATGGTTCTCTACATAATTTGCACACATGCCAAGGAACTTCATTAAAATATTCCCAAACTAGGTCTCTCTTACAGCCTGTGGGCTTAAATGGTATTCCCCTCCAGGGAAAGAATAAAAACCCTCAAGCTATACACAAAAAGAGCCAAAGATTTGTGGAGTATTCCGCTCAAAAGGTTTCACTTTCATTTTTAGTGTTTGCCCCTCCTCCTCACACATAGCTTCTTGTGCAGATGCATTCCACTCTCAACAATCCTCTTCTATTCATTGATTTTTTTTGAAATTTAGCACTTAAGAGGCAAGGGGTTGATTCTGTGTATCCAGATTTGCAAAGGAACAATGGAAGTAAGTATTTTTTTCAATTCATTATGTTTATTTTATAAAATTTTTGCTAAGACGAGGCACGTGTTCTCTGCAGACACCAATTTGGTTTTGAGAACTGTAAAACCAAGCATCTATGATAATAGCTTCTATACAGAAAAGAACTACCCAATAATCTTACAGAAACCTCTGTAAGAGCATGACATTGTGAATGGATTAATGGAATTCATTTACCACAAATACATTGCATGAATATACGACTTCATGCTACATAATTCTTATATAACTAATCCTTATATCATGATGAATAACTTTTGGGCTATATCTTAAATAGAAAACTATCTTTTTTTCTCAAAAAGTATTTTATTTTAAAAAATCCAAATTAAATATAAAAAACTGATTTAATTTTTAAAAAATCATTTATTTTAAAACTGATTTTAGCAACCTTGGTTTTTACTCATGAAAGCTAATAAACCTAAAAACAAGGCACTATTTGCTTTTAAATACTACTTAAGAACATTCCACAACCCTTTACAACATTGCCAACCAATTACTTGTGGTATATATATTTTGTACCTAAATTTATCTCAACTCTGAAGCAAAATGACTCAAATTCCATGGCAAAGGAGCACAAAGTTAAATCTTATAAAAATGAGGCATCTAATATTGAGTATAAAATAAACATAAGCAACTTTCAAAATAGAAAAGAAAGTAGCTGTATATGAAAACAAAGTCTTACTCCCTGATTGCTGATGGCTCTTCATAGATACTCCATGTCAGCATATTTTTACGGCTCCTTTGAAATGATGTGGGGTAGAAAATCTTCCAAACTGAAAAGTTTTCAGTGCTTTATTTTTCTACAGAAAATTGTTTCATAAAAATGAAAGTATACCACTTGCAATTACACACTGGCAGGTTCAAAATTGTAATTGTTTTCCAGATGTTTACTCATATGTCGTTAAATATATAAATGTCCCAAATTAAATGGAACTAATAAACAGTTACAGTAAAACTTGAGATGCCCCGAGAGTTGAACTATGTTGGATGACTGGTTGTCAGTATATCAAAATCATTTCTTTAGGTTACTAAAATTAGTGGCAATGGTTTTTGGTACCTTTGGAGTAAGATCCCCTTAAATTTAAGCAATGTAAGAGAAGCCCAAGGGATGCGGGTGGCACAGTGGTTTAAACTGCTCAGCTGCTGGGCTGGTTGATCGAAAGGTCGACAGTTCGAATCCGCACAACAGGGTGAGCTCCTGTTGCTCTATCCTAGCTCCTGCCAACCTTGTAGTTCGAAAGCATGCAAATGCAAGTAGATAAAAAGGTACCACTTTTTGTACCTTTGGGAAGTGGGAAGGTAACAGCATTCCGTGCACCTTGGTGTTTAGCCATACTGGGCACATGACCACGGAAACTGTCTGAGGACAAACGCTGGCTCCCTTGGCTAGGAAACAGAATAAGCACCGCCCCCTAGAGTCAGACATGACTGTACTTTAATGTCATGGGGCAACTTTTACTTTTTAAGAGAAGCCCAGTCCAGTAGATTTTTAAAATTCTACTTAATATAACTTTTAGTGAGTTTTAATTTTTCTTCAAGTATTTCAGGTCAAAGGTTTTTTGAGTATAGGGACAAAAAAAATTAGCATGGGGTACTTTCAAAAGTTTTGTTTATTAAATGCAGCTAAAACAAACATGATAAATTCAATCTTTGTAGGCCAAAAGTTAGCTACTTGTCCTCCAGATATTTTGGCCTTTAACTCTGAATAGGTCTAGCTGGTATAAATAGGTGAAAGCATCTGAAGAGCCAAAAGTTGTTCACTTGTATTCTATGACATCAGAACCCTAAGTCTATCCAAATAAGTCATTAATTTACTTATGTACATATCATACTGCCCAATAGCCATTGCTCTCTGGACAATGAGCAACAGGTAATACATACAATAAAATAAAACAATAAAAACACCATTAAATTACATTTTTACAACAACCAAAACCAGCACATATTGCTAGGCAAGCTAAAAAAAGAAAAACAGCTGACAGCACCTTGCACCCCATCTGCTATTTGGAGTTTGCAGATGCTTCAGCAAAAGGGGAACTCTTAACCTGGTGGCAAAAAGATGGTAAAACTGGCACCAGGCAGACCTCAGTGGGGCAATCATTCCATAATTTGAGGGCTACCACAGAGAAGGCCCTCCTTCTTGCTCCCATCTGTTGAGCCTTCCTAGAAGTGGCATTTGCAGGAAGGTCTAAGATACAGTGTCTGGGTACACTATGGTTGGCATCCATCACTTTTCCATCAGGTATTCACTTTTCCATCAGGTATTATGATGGGCTATAAAGCCCTACATCAGCTATGTAGGGCTTTATAGGCCACAACTGGTACCTGGAACTGGGCTCAGAAGTACATAGGCAACAGTGCAAGCAGGCCAGAGGTAGAATCATATGCTTGGATTGCAGGTAGTAGTCTATCTGCAATTTTTGGCAGAAACTGCAGCTTCCAGACTGTCTTCGAGGAAGCCCACATAGAGCGCACTGGAGTAATTTAGGTTAGAGATTACCAGAGCATGGATTACTGCAGTCTGACTTTTCTGTCCAAACAGGGGTGTAGCTGGGCACCAGGTGAAGCTGGTGGGAGATCCTCCATGACACTGAGGCCACCTTGGCCTCAAATTACAAAGATGGATCAAAAAGCACCCCCAAACTACAATTCTACTCCTTTAAGGGGAGAGCAATCCCAGCTACAACAGGCTGAGCACCCTCCATCTCATCAGAGGAACTGCCCACCAAGTGTATCTCAAGCTTGTCTGGACTGAGCTTCAGTTTGTTAGCCTTCGCCCAGGCCACTGTCAGTCAGGCACTGGTTTAGCACATCCGCAGCCTCACTTTCAGAAGATGAAAGGGGCAACAGAGCTGCATGTCATCAGCACATTGATGACAACACACTCCTCAGTGTTTTCATGTAGACATTTAATTGCATGGGGGATAAGACTGTTCCCCAAGAACCACATACTGGAGAATCCTTTGGGGCCAAGCAATATTCCCCAAGCACCACTTTCTGGAGCCAACCTTGCAAAGCATGAGCCTCTGTTCCCACAGGTTACTGTGCCTGATGGTATTAAAAGCTGCTGAGATATCCAGGAATATCAACAGGGTCTCAGTCCTGCAGATTCTTTGCAGGGTGACAAAACCCTAGCCTGACCTCTGATCGCAATGGATCCAGACAATCATTTTTAGCCAAGAGTGCTTAGAGCTGATTTGGCCCTACCTGCTCAAGGATCTTGTCTAGGAAGGGAACTTTTACCACTGCTCTAAATTCATTCGGATCGTCTAGTTTTGGAGCTGATCTCAGGAGCAGCCTCACTGCTGTTTAATTATCACTGGAAAATGTTCCAACATTTTCCAGAAAACTCACACGACTACTCCTCTGCATGTTTTTGAGGAATACAATGGGCAGTCAGATTTGAAATTGCATGCTAAACTCAAAACTTTTTCATTTGTAGATGGCAAACATTCACAATGAAAACCATTATAAAAGAAGGCAACTTTGTGAAATGTACAAACATATAAACCACACTGAATCACACAAAGCGTTAGGTTTGTACATAATGAAAAAGTTTTCCAAGAACAGGAAATATCAGGTTTCAGGTAACACTAGATACAGTAACCTTTGTAATACAAAACCAACTAATAAACAAATATTTATTGAATAGCTGAATGAAGTTAGTTTTAAAGGTGGCTTTTACTCAGATAAATCAAAATGTAACCAGTATGAATTCAAACAGCTGCCTAAACCTGGCTGAAAACTGAGGCTGCAATCTTGGGAATAGGCCCTAATAAGACTGACTTTTGAAGAGACATGTACAGAGTTGTGCTTTGTTGGAGGAAACAGCAGATGCTATCCTTGTATGATTTGTAGTAGCTCAGAGGAAGAATATTCATGTGGCAAAATAGGAAGGAAATTATCACATGATCAGATTCCTTCTTTCATAGTTGGATTGTAATCCCTAAATGTGCCTGAAATGTTACCTAACCAATTCAAAATTTGGGAGCATTACATAAGAACATACAAAAGGATGTGACAGGAAGTATAAATGATTTGCAATTTCCGTGTGCCATGAAAGGCAGGAATTCATGCAGGTTCCAGATGTGTGTGGAACCTATGTACATTACCGTAGGGTAGAAGCACATGTTTTAACTTTGCATCTTAGCCTGGAAGCAAAAGTAGAACAAGATGGTAATAATTATAAAGTACCAACAGAAACTTAAAATGCACAGCCCCCCACCCACCCACAGGCTGGTAACAGTCTGATACAACTTTTTAAAAAAAGGATGAGGAGGAGGAAATGTACTTGTGCTTTTTTTTATTACTCGGTGTTACATCCAAAGTCACCTTGAATAATTAAATGAAAAAAAAATTGAATAAAGAATATCCTCTGAAAGAGGAAGTCTTTCTTCTTTCCTTGAAGGACTCCCCAATAGTCACAGGAAAAAAAGGACTGACTCTACAAAAATATAGAGGAGTTCCTACTGCTCAGTGTTCTCATTCTAGAATGGTAGTAAGATGAGACATAAACAGCTCTCAATGTTGTCTCAAACAATTTGC